GCTTCATCAGCTGCTCCCCCGGCGAGAGGTCGGGCAGGTAGGGGGGCCAGCCCGGCGTGTTCAGCCAGCGGTCAAATTCAAAGCCTGCGGCAAGGAAGGGGTGGGGAGATGGGACTGATTTTCTGACCCCTGTACCAGGCGCTGCTGTCCACGCACCCTGCTGCCTTCTCCGAGGCCGTCCCCAGCACCACCAAACCTGCCCAGGGATGGTGATGAGCAGAGACAGAGTGAGGCTGTTAAGGCACCCTGAGCTTGGTGTGTGCTTGTGCAGCAACAGCCCCAGCGCTGCCAGCGAGCTGAGCTGGCTCTGGCACACAGAGCTCCTGCCAAGCCTGGCTCTGTGCAGCCAGGCCCAGCTGAGCCTGGGGCACCACTGAGCCCGATCCCAGCAGCTCCACGAGCAAACGCTCCCATGCTCATGCTAGAGACTGGCCGGGCTCAGCTCTCCATGTGGAAACCCCATGAGACGGCACCTGAGCACAGAGCACGGACTGGATGGAAACCCCAGGCTGAGCCCAGGGTAGTGCCTGATCCCGGAGCAGCCAGTGCTGCACTGTCTCCACTGGAGCCCAGGCCCAGTACCAGCAGCAGCGCCTCCAGTAAACCCCACAAACCAACATGCTCAGGGTCTGCACAGGACGTGGGATGGCTCAGACACCCATGGGATGCTGGTTTGCAAAGCAGCGCCCTGGTCCCCTGGTCAGGAAGGCTCCGTGCTGACCTGGGATGGAGTCCACGCCTTTCTCCTTCAGCTCTGGGAAGTACTCCAGGAAGAAACCAAGGGTGTCATCCGCTGTGATGCTCTGGAACTTGAACCGGTTCACGTAGGCCTGCGGGGACAGCCAGGGTGTGATGCCACAGGTGCTCACCTCCAGCAGCGCTGCCCAGCCCTCCCCGTGCTCCATCTCATGGAGGCTTAGTGTTGCCAAGCCCACGCTGCCCTCGTTCCCTCCTAGGGGCTGCCCAGGCTCCTGCATCCCCCAGTTCACTGTGAGCCCTGCCAGTGTGGGGCCAAGCTGAGCCCTCACCTCATTCCCCATGAACATCTCCAGTTCTCACCTCCTCTTCTCCCCAGCCCCCCTGTTCACCCTGTCCTTCCCGGGGTCCCGCTGCCCTCTCCCCTCCCGCCGTGGGGTTTTGCAGGACTTGGCACCTCCACCTGGTACCTCCCTGTACCAACCTGGAGGAAGGCATCGAACTTGCTCTGGTTCCCCACCAGATGGGCCAAGTAGCTCACAAAGCAGTACCCCTTCTCGTAGGGCGTTTCGTTGTACGTGTCATCCGGATTGATGCCTAGAAAGAGGGGAAACCCTCAGGAATCATCTCCAAAAAAACCCCAGCCCTCGCATGCACTGAGACTTCTGCTTTCGCTGCTGGGTGCAGGCCTGTCACATCCCTCCTGGAGCCATCGCCTCACTCGGGTCCCACCAGCAGTGCCAGTTGTATTGCGAGCCATCAAACACCCCAGCAGCTGGGCTCTCCACC